AAGGACACGTACGTCCAGCATTCAGCATGAGAATGTCCAGCTTCTCGGTAGTGGCACGAACAGCAGCCACCGCGGCCTTGATGTTCTCAAACGAGCTCAAGTCAAGCTCCTGGAAGGCGACATTGACGCCTGGCGCCGCGTTTTGAACCTCCTCCAGCGCCCCTTGGCCCTTTTCCGGGTCGCGTGCCGTCATCCATAGCTGGGCAGGTCCATGTTTGGCCAATGCAAGGGCACTCGCCTTGCCGAGCCCACTGTTGGTGCCCGTAATGAGAATGGTCTTGCCAGCGAGCGAGGGGACGTTCGTGGCCGGGTCAAACGTAATACCAGCGGGCTTGGTAAGATGCTCAGACATTGTGGCGGATTGGGTGCGGATCAGTACACGGGGATAAAGTAATCTATAAGAAACGCCAACGCTCTTGATCTGTGGCAAAGTCGACGTAACAATCTGTCGAAGAGACAAACTTTTGTCATATGTCCCGGTCCGGCCGTTAGACTTTATACCTCGACACTATGCCGGCCAGACGGACATTTTCGTCTTCCCGTAGGAGCGTCATAACCCATAGAGGCCGTCATATGTCGTGTCCTTCGACGGAGTTTGGACGTTATCAGCATCTGAGAGTGTGCTCGACGCAAGAACCGCTTCGAGCAGATCCATGCTACGCCCAGCGAATGTGGATGCCAAATGACACAGAAGACCAATCACCGTATCGAAAATCCGAGCCTGGCAACCTGATGCAAGCCGCAAAGATGTCTGACGTTAGCCTACATTTCCCCAGTAGGGGCGGCACCAGGGCCACCTTTGCGCACTTACACGACAATTCGAGCCAATAAGCAACGAGAGTTTCCGAGGCGACCCACCGTACGAAATGCAGCCGACAGGTGTGTATCGTTTGGAATCAGCTCCTGGATAACGACAACAAGAGGATACGAAAAATGAATTAGGACAAAAATGAGAACAATATTAGGCTGTGGAAGATGGAAGTACTTGATTTGTATTCGGAAGAAACTAGGTCGAATTTTGGAGGAAGGAGCTACCAAATTGAGGCGAACAGAAGCGGAAGCCACGACGGAGCAACTGCCCTGGCCTGTTGCTCCAGATCATATATTTTTTGATCACATTGGCATCACGAGTTACTTCGAGCGTAGATCACAGTGTTCATGCTTGAAAGGGTATCAATTTATGCTGTTTTCATCACGACCAACTCGAGTCTAGCTCACCGCCCGTTGTTCCACACCCGACGTTCATTGCCACGCGCTTCCCTTGCTGTCCCGCCAGGGAAGAACGACACCTCCTTCGTGAGCAGCCGCCACTTAACATACGCCGCCGACTCCCGCTCCGAAGTGGAGATGGACGTCCACTTAGGACCGTCGCTCGTTTGCCGTGCCAGGTGACCGTACTTCTCCTCGGCCAAGTCGCGCAGCGCACCATCGACCGTAACAGGCCGCGTGCGCCCCACGCCGCCACCATACCGACCACCCCGACCCCGGAGGTTCCTGCGACGATCCGGCCGAGCTCGTCTGATAGCAGGCGGCTGCCAGCTAGCTCCCTGTGCAAATGCGTCCTCATGGAACGCCCGCAGGCTTTCGGCCTCGGCTGCCGTCAGACCCCACACCGAGTAGCGGTGGCTCATGCTGTCGCGCACCGCCTTACGTAGCACGTTGCAGAAGACAGACTTGGACGGGACGTCGACGCCCATGGCCTCCAGGAAGTTGGGCCACGTCTGGATGGTCTGGAGGCGGCGGACCTCGGCCGACAAGTGGGCCGCAGCGCCGGCAGGCGGTGCACCATGGCGCTGGTACAGAGCGTCGCGCACCGCTTCCAGGCTCTGTCCTTGGGGGCGTGCGGTGCGCCGGAACAGCTCCATGAACATGAGCAGGCGGTACGACGTCTGGCTACCGACAAAGGTATGGTGCAGACGATACTCGCTGATTGTGTCTTTCGCCTCGAGATGCACGAGCTCGGCGCGGCCGGCGCCCTTGGTGTCGAGCAACCAGACCACGTTGCGCGTGATGGCCTCCGTAATAATGGACTTTAGCAAATCCTGGCGGGTACCGGGGCCGCTGTCCGTTGTCTTGTTGTCGACACCAATCTCACTGTCGTCGGCAATCAAAAGCGCCACCAGTAGCATGCCCAGGTTCGGGCAGTCGACCTTGGACCGTTTGTTGTTAACGTAGAACGAGCGCAGGCGGTGGTTGGCGTCAGCTGCGACCTGTGGATGCTCCGCCGCCAAGCATACCAACAAGTGGAACAGGTGGAAGTACGACTCGATGGCCTTTTCGGAGGCATGCCGCAGCGTACTTTTCACCGGTCCTGACGGATGGTCGACCCAGTCATCTTGGAGCCACCATTCATCAGCATAAGACTCGTTGAGCTTGTCGACGTCCTCGTTGAGACGGACCACAATCTGCGTCATGAACGACAAGAGCACTTCGGTGGCCCGCGTCACGCTCTCGGGAGTGGGTGCCGTCTTGGAGACCTGCCGGAAATGCACGAGCTGCGCCCCATTTGGCTGGCGGCCATTCTTTGTGCCGACCGGCTCCCGCTTGAAAGCCCCCTTTTTGCGTGGTAAAGCATCCTCGCCAATGGCCACAAGGGCCACCACCGCATCGTTGCGCACCCGCAGCCAATGCCGCCGCGACAAGGGCAGCGGTAGCCAGTGGTCAAATGCGATGCTCTGCACCGACCGGCGAACCCGCAGCGTGGCAAATGCCTCGCGCGACAGCAGATCGAATTCGGACTCGAGCCCACGCGTCCGCGTGCGGCTCTGCATCGTCGACACGCCGACACCGAGGTCACTCTTCAGGTACGACGTCTTGAGGCAGAAGCACTGCAGCTCGCGCTGGTGGAGCACGTCGTGGTACTCGACCAGTTGCCGGACGCGGTCCGAGGCGGCAACAAACTTGTTGATGCCGGTCGTGTCGAGCTCCCTGAGGATGAGAAGCAGGACATCGTCGGTCAACATGTCGATCGAGCGACCCGCCAGAGCGGAAGGAAGCAAGTCCTGCGGGGACGACGTTTCTACCACGTCGGTGACTGCTTCTGCTTCGCGTCTGACAATATATTCTGTGGCAGGCTCCGTATCCGCTGCCTTCAACATGGACGCCTGGTCGCCTGTGTCGTAGCAGCACCGGTCGCACTTGAAATTGTAGCGCGTGTCATCTGCATACGCCCATTCATCCTGCTGATGATGCCATCCCATCACCTCAGCCATTTGCTCCTGGTAGTTACCCAGATGCACAACGCCGCCACCTATCTGCTCGACCGAGTCGCTTGAGAAGAAGGACAGCAGCTGAATCGCAATGCCCTTGAGGGTGTACGCCGACGTGTACCCCTCGGTTGTGTTGAGGATCGACGCGCAAATGTAATTGCCAAACACGTTGGGGTGCGAGACATTTGGCGTGTCCATGCTGATATGCGGCGGCGCCACCGGAAAGTCGTGCGGGAACTGCACGGTGAGGTGCAGCGGCTTGTCCCCATAGGCCTTGGTCGTCAGCAGGAGACAGGCGTCGCCCATCATGCCGTCAGGTCCATCGACGGGCGGGTGCAGCTTGATATTGGGGTAACAGGGCGGCTTGCAGAGCTCGTTGATGTCGCGCATCAAGCGGCCCCGGTAGAGGGGAGCCGCGGCGGGAGAAGGGTTGTGCTTGTTCCCCATGTTGCTAGTGTCCTAACGAAAATAAATATAAAAATAAAAAGAACAAACAGAAACAGAGTGAACGGTTCCGTTTTGGGTTCTTTTATGTCTGAGGAGACTGGGTCGCTGTTGAGGATCAAGACCAAATGTGAGTTGGTTGATGAGGAGACGGAGAAAAGAAGAAACATGTCACGACACATAAGCAACATATATATACACCTCACTCCTGTTTTTTATCTCTTGTCGCGCCATCCCCCAAAGCGAGTTGCCATTGACTCACTTACCGCTGTTTGAGGCCAAGCTGTAAAATAATTGAATAGTGATAAGTCGGCCTCTGGTGAAACGGGATCTGATGTCGTGGAAATCGCCCTGCGACCAATACAGGGGGCTAATATCCACATAGGACGCAATATGCCTCCCTGAACGCCGGAATGTGCCACTAAATCCCCCTGTAGGGTGAGGCCGTCCATGTAAGCGGGGGCTGTCAACCCACCATTTTCTCCATCTTTTCCCGCGTCTTGAAGGCTCAGCCTCATGCTGGTCTGGTCTCACTTCACAAAGTCTCTGTTTGAGGTGTACTGTGCAACGATTTTGAGGTCTGGTTGCCACAGAGGCCCGTCAGCTCCAAACACTCGGCGTCGAACTGACTGTAAACCGACCACAAATCTGCATCGACCTTTGGGTCCACCTCGTGTTCCTAAGTCACACCACTTCCGAAAGCATGTCTTCTCCTTTATCCGAGCGACTTGATACGGGTCCGGCTTCTTGCGGAGGTTCCCAGCGCCTTCGAAATTATTGGTTACAAACACAGTTTGCGAAATATGCGCCGCTATGAGCGAGGCCCAATCCGAATAACATTGGTGTGTTTGCATGCGTGACGTGTTTAAATAAATACATGAATAATGCATGTTTTGTTAAAAATAACGAATATCATGTACTAACCCGACTGTTATGAACTGAAAAGAATAATTTGAAATTTTAAAAACAAAAATTATTGTGTCTCTCACCAAAAAAAAAAAAAAAAAACCGACCAGAAAGTTCCTCAATCATGCTTGCCTACAAGTAACGTATGCCACTTACACCACTCGAATTCTTGCCTAGTCAAAAAAAAAAAAAAAAAAACTGAATATTGAAATTGTTCCGTGGACTGTTTTTGTTTTGGAGAAATGTCTCACTTTGATGTTTTTCTTCTCATTTTCTTTCCACAAACACATCGTCCTGATCGCCGTGCTACTAACCAAGTGGAAATCTTACCTCGCCCCACGCCCCTACTTTTGCTCGTATAGGTCACGCAGCGACAGAATGTTACTGATTTTTGACCGATGTAGAGTCGGGGTAGACGTGCAGGAGGAGGTAATGGGAGCAATGAATGCCGGAATCACAGTCGGCGGAGAAGACGTCGTGGAAACGGAGGTCGAAGGACCTGCGGCCGAGAGCGTACATGGTGTGAGCAAGGTCGTCGTTGGCGACATCTTGTCTGCAGAGCGAGGCATAATTGTGAAAAATACTGGAGTCAGTTGTGATTCTTTGATTCTGTTTCTTATAGCAGGAATTGCGAATGCTTTGATCGAATGCAATTAAGAAAAGGGAACATCCTCGTCAATTTCCGAGGGGGTGCTCTGGCGCTATTTATGCATTAGAGTAAGTGGCAGATACAGTCATTACTTGAATAAGTAGTTTTGTGATACAATGCGTGACGCTTCATGGAAAAGTTCGTCAAAGTGTATTGTGATGTGTTTCCATTGCGTCTTACGGGGGAGGTGCTAATGTTTGAGGGCGCGCCAGCTTGTCGTCAGTACAAGGGCCCTAATAAGGGCTTATCTCCGCCAAAATTATTTGTATCCTGCCAGTTTGGCCGAGTGGTTAAGGCGGTGGTCTTAAGTTTCCGTTGGAATTGCTTATCACACCATTATCGAGAGATTCACAGGTTCGAACCCTGTAGCTGGCAACTATGAAAAGATTTTTTTTTTACCCGAAGTTTTTAAGTCCCAACAGTAACGATATTTGTATACACTGTTTATTTTATCATTTACATTTTAACTATCATTATTCGTAGAAAAAAATAGCTCTAGGAATAAAGTAAACAAAATAAAATTAATGTTAAATAGTTTCGTGGATGTGGACAACCGTTTACAAATGTGGGCGGTGAAAAGAGCCAACAAAAAAACAGCTTATAGCTCCGATACGGGGAATCGAACCCCGAGCTCGACGGTGAGAGCGTCGGATGTTGACCATTACACCATATCGGATGGTCTCGTATTTCTTACCAAATTGAGAGCTAATTTAGTATATTAAGGCTCCAAGCTAGCCAGTTAACGACGGCAATATAAATGGCGACAACTTCATTAGTGAAGTGTCAATAAAAAAAAAGATGCTTACGACTTGTGCACTTCTCCCAAGAAAGCCGTTCCGCACGGTAGTCCATGGCGCAGCAGAACGTTGATATCGTCTTACGACGAGTCACTCTGTAATAACCCACGTAAAATAAACGTATGGTGTTTCCTTTCCATCCAACACATCATAAAGCACAGCCACGACGACGTGCATTCTTGTACATACCAAACGGAAAACAATCATCACTGTGCGTGGATATGCTATCGAGGTCCTTGCTAAAACAGTCTTGAAAAATGGGCGTCTCACTCTCTGCAAATTGATATAGACCTGTTTTACAGCATCATGCAACTTTTGTGGCCGTGCTTCGTTCATACCGCCCGGTCGGCGATCTCCAGCATGATTAAGTTAGACAAAAGAGAAAAGGTGAAAATAGCCAAAAGAGAAGTAAAGAAGAAACCAAAAGCCATAGCCAAAAAATATAAATAAATAAAAACGAAAGACGTATCACGTTCGTCAACCCAATTCCATGACTTACTCCTCCTCTTCATCGTCGTCCTCCTCAATGGCCCAGTCCCGCCAGCCTTCGCCGCGGACCCAGCTCACACCCTTACGCCAAGCCGGCTCACGGACCGCGCTCGCCTGGCGCTCGTATACGGCGCCTGCTACCACCAGCGACGCCACAAACACGAGCACATCGGCGCCCTGCGACGCGGGACGCCACCACCGCCGCTTGACGCCGACGCGCCACACGCTTTCGAGACTCGCGCGTGCCGAGTACAGGAATAGCGCGCGGCCGTGCTTGCGCTCGACCCAGGCCCAGAAGCCGGCAATAAACCCGCTCAGGAAGAACCGCTGGGTGGGGAGCACGCGCCGCGGCAGCCACGCCTGGAAGAAGCAGATGGACGCCCAGGCCGTCGACAGCGAGCCCGTCAAAAAGGTCGCCGACCGCAGCGACTTGGCAAGCAGCTGCTGAATCGCCCGCACAGGCGCGTGGTACACGGCGGCGGCGCGGGGCAGCTGCAGCGCCGTGTAGACCACGAGGAAGAACCGAGCGTAGGCGGGGAACGCACGCAGCCAGTAGGTGAGATATGTGCGACCGCAGGACGGGTCGTTGGGGTGCAACGTGGCACAGCTCAGTGACTTGATCAGAGGGTGCGCCCGGCTTGTCAGCGGTGTGACGGCCGCAACGGCGGCTGTGGCAGCTGCCGCAGAGGCCGATGCGGCGGCCGAGGCACCTGATGCAGCAACAGGCAGTGCCAGGAGTTGGCTGACGTCTTTGGTCGGGAAGAGTGCCGGCGATGAAAAGGCGGGCCAATAGGCGCGCCCCATTGCTGCCATCGCATCCAGCACCTGATAGGGGCCGGGCCAGTTCGCAGCCATCGCAGCAGGGATATCAGCGGGCGCCGCATGCAGATAGGTGTCCGTCGGCAGGGTCCGGTTGAAAATAAAGTTGCCATACGGAAGGGGAAAACAGTCCCGGTCAAAGACGGCCGCATGCAGCAGCTGGCCGAACGCAATCGGCTGCAGCATCCACGAGCCCCACCACCAAGGCCGGGCACGCGGGCGGGCCACCAGCATGACACCGCTGGCTTTGGCCGTGCCGGCAGTAATGAGCTTATCAACACCGGACGAGGCAACGCTCGTGGCAGTACCAACAGCAGCCCGGACCGCCACAGGCACCATGTCGACGCCCCAAATGGCACCGGAGTCTTCGGCAGCGTTCCACGCAAATTCCAGAGCCCGGAAAACAGCCATAACGGCCAGGGTCATGCGGAACGGAGCAGGTGCAATACCGAGCGCCAGACCTGCCAAAGAGGCACCTGCTGCGGGCGCATAGGCAGAGGTAAGCGCGGCTGCTGTGCGCGGATTGCGTACGCGGAACGGCAGGGCGGCCGGGTCGAGCAGGTGTGTGCGCAGTCGTGTAAAGAATCGGAAGAGGAGGCGGTAGAGTAGAAGGATAGCAGAAAGCGACAAGGATAGGCGCACTGTGGGGGATTTGTGAAGCGGCTCTTTCTTCGATCTGCAGCAGTTAGTACACCGCCAGTGGCCGCACTGGAACCGTTGCTGTTGCACAACACGACGCACCTTGGTTTGCCAAAAAGTCGGCGCTGGACAGCGTCGTAAATCTTCAGACCGGCAGCGCTGGCCATGAAAACGCGCAACGCGTGGCGCACAGCACGTGCATTAAAGTCGTCCGCACCAAGAATTGCGTGCGGCGTGTCCGGATCAGTCAGCTCCGGCAGCTTTTCCTTCTTGGACGGGCTCTTCGGAGGGCCGCCACTTTGGCTGGGCCGTGGCGTACTGGCTTTGGACGGGGGCAGCGACGAGGGGCCGTTCATGATGCGTGCCACTTGATCGACGGTCGGCGCGCGCCGGCGCACAAGCTTGGACTTGGAAAGGACGTATTTGTGGAGGGCAGCGTACTCGCGTGCAGAGATTGTATAGCGGAGGGCGTTTCGAATGATGGCTTCGTTGGCCGAGGCGCCAGGCCGGGGCGCCGTCGCCGCAGAGGCGGACGACGCCATGTTCGCGAAAGTGGAGGAGAAGTCGTCTAGAGAAGGTTTCGGCGGCGTTCGGGCTGTCTCAACAATGGCGGAGACCTAAAGACACGGTACCATTACGGCCCCGCTGTCGGCATTCAATGCGATACAATGCAATGACTGTCGTATTTCGTCGATGCGATTGCGATATGTGAGAATAAAAAGCGCAAAAAAAGGACGAAAAGAGGACGAAAAAGAGGAGGCTGGTGGAGTTCGGTCGTCGCAAAGATCAGCTCGTGACAGGCGACTGAGGCGAAGTTGGGCGCTGTTGGTTGTCGCAGTCGGTTGCGCCGGTTGTCGACTCGAGATGGGTTGTTGGAATAAAGAAAAGGACAGGATACGCTGGAGTGTGGGATGGGATAAAGAAGACCAAGAAACAATGCGCTTTTCGTTTCGTGTTGGAATGCTGCCAAAGGGAGTGTAATATTATGCTGGCGATAGGGGGACTTGCTGTGGGGGAGGGCCCAAAGGAAGGAGCGAAATAGCGACATGAGGAAATGGGGAAGCGACCACCCAAAAGACGCGTTCTACGACATAGCTTGGCAATGCGACCCCCTTTTTACCTCGAGAGTTTGCTTTTGATTGGCTGTCTTTGGACTTTGATAGGTCCAGGGAACTTTTAGTGCAAATTACACGTGCTATTTCTTTCTCGCATTTCTCCATGGAAAGACTGCTCAAAGAAGGGAGACGAGAAAGAGGCAGGAGCAACCCTCAGAATGAGGTGGGAGCAACCCTCAGAATGAGGTGGGAGCAAAACACCTCGGCTGGTCAGCCACCTTGCCTCCATAGGGAAGGAGTCCACTTTTAGACGTGCAAGCAACTTGCGAAGAAGAGTCACGAGCTTTGGTGGTGCTCCTACCAAACTAAGCCGGATGGCACCCTGCTGTGGTGGCTTTTTCTCCATATTTTCTCCGCGGGATCACTGGAAAGACCCTAGAAAGAGAGGGGGACCACTAAGAAAAAAACGGCGTACATTCCATTTCGCGATAATCATCCGTGGATGCAGTATGTTTTCCTGCGAATGACATGGCTACTTCCCACTGGGTTCCGACCCTCCCTCCGACGGCTAACGTACGACTGCCCTCCACGCTGTGAACAGGCCATCCACGGTTTACCATCTGGCAGGCATTTGCATGAGCTTCATTTCCCATCCGCATGGCGCTATGAAATAAGTTGACTTGCGCAGCTGTTTAGATGCCGATATCAACACGATAATTAGTAGCAGCCTTTTTACAAGTCGACGGTATTCAACGCACTACAGTTGTACACATTCAACATGACGTCGGTGAACGACTTACCGCGAACTGTCTGTCGCCGTCGTATGTACAAAGACCACTGGTTTACTACAGTATCCGCCGCTGGTTACCGGGAGTCTCTAAACGAATTATGGCGAGAGAGATTGAAGTAGAAATAATAAAATTCACATTAAACAAAATAACAAAGTAAAACATGATGGAATATCCTCGTGGGTATCAACTAATGGATGGGACAAAGACCTCGCAAGTCTTTGCCCTTATTCCCCAGTCCCCGCCGGCTTCGGGACTGCTCGCCCTTTTCTGCAAACCATAACTTGTCGTCCAGCACGACCAGTTGTATTCCCGCTTCCTGTTGTCCCTCCTCTTCCGCTGTGTAGTGAATTTTTTCTTGTGTCGCTCATTAAATACTAAAATACAGGTGTGTCTCTGGCTCGCCGGCCGGTGAGTATCCTTTACTTTTTGCCTTTTTTAAAATACCATCTCTGCAGTGTGCTGACCTTCCAGCAGTAGGCCATACCGCGTAAGAAGGATACAGGAATAAATAACATGAAACCGAAAATACCGAGAAAAAGACTATGCTTTGCGTAGAGCAAACTCGCGAGACACACAACAAAATGGGGTAATGATGAGACCAAACGCCTAAAGGTAATGCAGCGCATGCTGTGAAAGGGGAAATGGAAGAAAGAGTAAAAAAAAAAACGAAAAAAAAAACGAAAAAAAAAAACGGCTTGAATAAAACAGCACCGTGCGCTACGGACACTTGTCGTGGCGATACAATGGAATGTGAAAATGAAAACTATAATGGTTAGAACACAAATAATTTGGCTCAAACAACTAGACTCCATCACGTCAGGCGCTTGCAGAACGAATTAGCGACAGCGTTGCACGTCAGACAGCCGCAGGCGCTGGATCCGGGGGACACGGCATCGAGCACCCTAACGAGATGCGTCAGCATGGGCCCAGACCCGCACGAGTTCGCCCGTGTCACCATGGCAGAACTCCTTCCAGCCGAGAACATCCCAGACGTCGATATCAATGGGGTGATCCCGGTGGAGAGGCGGCGTCGGACGTTGAAGACGGCCCAAGATGGCGTCACGCTGCTCGGGGCTGTTCAGATTGTCACCGGCGTGGATGACTTCCAGGGCCTGCAGTCGCCTGCGCTCGCGCTCTTCGACGATATCACGAGTGATGGACGCTCGGTCGGCTGTGAGCTGAGAGTGGCCGAGGACATACTTGAGATAGTCGTAAGGCAGGTTGATCAGGATGCGCGAAAGGACCGTTGCGGCATCAGCCTGGCTGTTGTCGGCGGCGCTCAAGACACCGTTGATGCTGCCATGGGCCACGTTGGCGAGCTCGTCGGCAAAGCCACCGAACACAATCTTTGGCGACCGCGGGCCACCCTTCTTGGAGTTGGAGGAGTCGTTGGGTCCACGCATAGGAAGACTGACGGAGCCTGCTGAGCGAATATGGGCTGTGGTACCATCGCTCGCCGCTTTTGTAGCAGTGCTTTGAGGAACGTCAGTGGCGGGGACGGTCTTAGTAGTGTCAGTAGGGAATCGAAGGAGCGTCGAGAGGGGACCAGTTGACGTGGCCACAGCAGCGTTGAAAACGAAATTGGTAGGGAAGTTGCGAACAACAAAGTCGAGAGCTTGGCTCAATAGGCGGCGGACAGACAAACCAGCACCACGGCCGTAGCGAAGGTCGGCATGGGCATAAGCCGGTCCGTTCGGGTTGGTGTTCCCGTCGGCAGCGTTTGGAAAGGATGCACCGTTGAGCCCATAGGCAAGCACCTTCTCAACCGTCGTCCAGTCAATCAAGCGCCCGGCCTGCTCGGCACCCACACTCTCGACATGGTCCAGCATGAAAATGAAGCCCGCTGTCAGATTGGACAGTGCTTTGTCAAGAGACTGGGTATCTGCCAGCGGGTGGCCGTAGAGACTGCGAAGAGCTTGCACGGCCGCCTCGACAGAGATATAGGGGTCTTCGATCTTCATGTGCAGAGCAAGGATCGGCCGGTTGAAGGGGCCCGAGTGGATGGTGCCAATGTCGCTGCGCAGGAGGTGGCCGATGCTTTGGCTCTGAGCGAGGACACCGCGGTGGCCAGCAAACATGGTCGTCGGTCCGTGCTGCTGCTCTGGTCCGTTCAATTCGGCGCCGTTGTTGGAGCTGGCGTTTGCTTTCGGTAAGTGAAGGATCAGGTGGCAATCTGAGGTCTGCGGGTTGTCGAAGTTGTGCTGAAGCTGCTGCTGGAGATGGTGAACAAACTGGAAGTCAATGCCGCGGTTCGGAGCATCGTCTCGCCTGCCTTGGCGTTCATCGGGGCCGGCATTGGGGAAACCAGAAGGCGGGAAGAACGGCGGCGACATCATCGACGACATCGAGTCGTTGTTGCGGAGAGGCAGATGTCCATTCAGACCACCGGGCGGCGGGATGCCTCCAGCTTGGTGATGAAAGGCGGGTCCATCGGTCACATTGTCGGGCGAGTGCGACCCGCGGAAGCTACCGGGCGTAGAGGGGTTGAAGCCAGCAGACGAAGGAGCGAATCCGTTGACATCACCACCAGGCGGCACACCAGGCGGCCCTTGCCACTCGCCAGGCCCAATATTCGGCATATTGTATGGCACGAACTGTGGGCCACCAATCAGACCAGGCGGGGGCGGAAGCGGACCGTGACCCGTCGGCACCGGCGACACGTTGTTGGAGTCGTGGAAAGCACCGAAAGTGATGCTGCTGGCACTCGGGTGAGGCTGGTGGAAACCGGGATGTTGATGGTGCTGCTGGTGGAAAGGATGCTGAGGATGCGGCGGGAACTGGGGGTTGTGTCTCGGTGGTCCACGGTGCCGAGCGGCGGAGCCGCTGCGAGAGTGTGGAGGGAAGACAAATTCTGGCACCGTAGGGCCATTCGGCGGCAGCCCTGCAGAAGCCGGGCCTGCAGGGATGTGAGGCTGAGATGCTCCGCTCACAACAGGTCCGCTGGCTGGCGCATGCTTGTCGGCTGTCGTCGTGGTAGGAACGAAGGGGGCCACAGTCGGGTCGGCCAGGGTCGTATTTGTCGATGACTGCGGTGTCTTGGAAGCACTAGGTGACGACAAAGACACAGATGCGTCAACCACAGTCTGAGGGGTCGAGGCGGAAGCCAACTGAGAAGCCTTTTCGACAGGTGTGGACACGACAGCGGCAGGTTCGACGGTCTTGTGGTTGTCGTCGCCATTTAGTGAGCTCGTATCCTCCTCGGGTGCCTTCGTGGCTTCCTGTGCCGGCGCCTGGTTCTCCATCTCCTTCTGCTTCGTCAACTCCTGCTGCTCCTTCTCAAGGTCTAGCTGCTGTTGCTTCAGACGCAGCTGATCTTGCTGCTTTTGCTGTCTCTGCAACTGCTGCTTCTGGGCAATTGGCAGCGGAATCACGGGGACAACAGCAGCCCGGGCGTTCTTGGGCCGGCCAGCCGTTTGAGGCGGCGGCTTGTTGGCCGTTCGCGGCATGGTCGGAGAGGCGTCGGAGCTATGGGGTGGTCAGGCGGGTGTCGACGTGATATGGAACATCGATTGGTCCGTGGTGAGACTTGGTGTTGGAATAGAAGCGCGATTTTCCTGGACAAGATGCCGGAGTTAGTGTACAGAGTCCGACGACGTGAGAAATCTGGTGCAAAAGTGACGATGAACCTGCAAGCACCGCGAGGGGAAGTGTGACGACAAGTGATTCAGGTCGTCGTCCCCACAGAGTTGGTCTCAGGCCCTCAGTGTCGACAAGCTGCCATCCGACAGCGACACCGATCTTTTCGAGCTGCTGGCATTGGATACAGGGCCACAGTGCAAAGGGGTGCAGGAAACGCGAATGGTGAAAAAACTGCGCAAATGATGCCAGAAAGCGAGACAAGCCCAGGCATTGGGTAAAAGTCGGGATGATGCAATGCTGGGACAGGCTTCCCATAGCTTGACTTACCGGTAGAGGGAGCTTCTTGTGCCAAGAGAGCTGTGAAAGGAGTGACCAGAGGAGGATGCGTGATAAAGCGTTAATGGGGAAAGGAGCGGTCGCCAGGCAAAATGATGCTCCTGGCACAAGTGAGGTTGGCTTGTGTCTGGGGTGCGAAGACGTCTAGAAAGGAAAGGATTGGTGACGATGCAAACGTTTACAACGACGGCCATGCGGCATCCGGCTAGTCTCCTCCGGTACGATGAGAAGAGGCCAAACACGGCTACAGCGGGTTGGGGCAAACGGGAAACGTGCTGGAGGCGAACGCGAGAGATCGTGAATGTTGGGAGCAGTGCCAACAAACGCAGGCTGCTGCTGGGGTGGAGGTGGTCGAGGGGTGGAGTTCAGAAGAATCCGACAGAAGGCGAGGGAGGAGACGACGAGAAAGTGGAGGAAGCAATGGCGCTGTTGCATCGGACTTTCCTTGGTGCCAGTTGCGAGTTTGGTAGGCTGTCGCAGTCCTCTCTTTCCCTTTTTTTTTTTTTTTTAGTTTGAGGTGCTTTTTTTATGGGGCTCGCTCTGTTTATTTCTCAGCTTCATTGGACTGTCAACACTTCCCCACGAATCAGGTACATGTACTAGCAGACGGAGCTCCATGGGCAGTCACGTGTCCTGCAACCGTTGCGTTACTACAGCAGTCGCCATGCCCCTTGATGCCTCCAACTCAGAAGAGCAGGAATAACCATCTGAGCCAGGTGTAAGTGGGAAGGCACACTTAAGAGCCAGTAGCCTCCTGCCGTAATCCGGCGGCTCTTGCTTTGTCTGGAGGGAAATATTCGAACGTTTGGAAGGCACTCTCGTAGCCCCTGAGGCACATCGCGTACAATTTCAGCTTCATCTTTTTCGGCCACATAACCATACTGCAGATTAGGGATTACATTGGAGTATCTTGGTATCCCAGGGCCCGCTGATGTTACCGACCGTCCACCTGATTCGTTTCCCGGGTCGTTTTGTTAGCCATTGGTTAGGGCCAGCTGTGTAGAATGTCGCCTCTCGATGCACTGCAAAGATCTGTGGAATCCAATGTTCCAACATTCTCCGTTGCACGACCTGCTCAATGGCAAATCTGCATAGTGTGGTAAGCGTGAGAATTGTGCAATGTGTCTTGCTCGAGTGGCTGCTAGCACCAATACTAATAACACGCATTAAGGCAAACCGAACGGGTCGGCGGAGATAGACTGCGTATGGCCGGCACAGGTTTCCAAATTTCTGTCGTCTTTCACGATTGACCGCGAACAAAACAACGCAAGCATGTGTGCAAAATACGACTATTAACGGCAACGGCACGATGGATGATCTTACGGTAGGCAAGCATCGGCCGCATCCTTCCAGCACAGCTCCTGCACGGCGCAGGGCCAAGGTGAAGACAGGATGTCGGACGTGCAAGTAAGCCAGCGAACCCCATGCTCAACTTGACTTCTTGCTACCCACTGTATTACCATTACTGATTTCTTATTGCTTACACCCCAGGCTTCGAAAGGTCAAGTGCGACGAAGGGCGACCTGCCTGCTCGCGATGTGTTTCAACCGGGCGAACTTGTGAAGGATACGGCATTTGGGGTGGCGGTAACAAGGCCGCAACAGCGTCCGTCTCTCCGGCCGCTCTCATGCTTGCCATGGGTCAACGCCAACGACAGGCCGCACAGTCTCCGCCGTGGCCGTCGATCCCGCCACCACTGTTGAATGGCACAGTCGCACCACTCAGTGCGCAGGAGTGCAACTGGCTCGACTGGTTCCGCTGGCGTACAGCGGTCAAGCTACGGGGTGCCTTCTCGATGGCTTTCTGGGATGTGCTCGTCATTCGCGCGAGCCTTGAGGAGCCCGCTGTCCTCCACGCTGCCCTTGCCTTGAGTACTGTGCATAGGCGTGTTGGAGGCGGCGAGGGCATGGGGACCAGTTCAAACGAGCGGCTTGCCGTGGCAGACGCGTGCAGCGAGGAGTTCACTCTTCGGCAGTACAACAAGGCGATCCGTCATTTGACGGCTTCGCCGTTGATGCGAAATACAATGGATGTATCCAGTGCATCACCAGACATTGCTTCTATCCGGATCATGCTCGTGGCCTGTATGCTCTTCACATGCCTCGAGTTTATGCGCGGTCACTTTCGGACGGGGAGCACCCACCTGCAGAACGGCGTGCGGCTACTCGACTACCTGTACGCTGGGAAACAGAAAACCTCGCCAACGTTGTCCACTCCCAGCTTAAACTCGTTGCATCTGGTTAGGGATAGGTGTTTCCCGGGAAACAATATTGATCCCATCGACCAGTGGCTGCTGGAAGCGTTTGCTCGCATGAACTTGCTGGCAGCGCAATTTGGTCATGGATATGCCAGATCCATGCTGCCCACGGTGCCGCAGTATTTCTTTTCACCGGACCATCATCTACTGACACTGCCAATCACATTTGCGTCCATCAGCCAGGCGCGAAATAGTCTTGATGCACTGGTCTACGACGTGCTCAGCCTCAAGGGACAAAGCCAGGATCTCCACAAGCAACCAAACAACGACACTTATTCATCAGATTCCTTGCTAAGTAATGGGGGCACGACATCATCGTCATCAGCATCGTCGCCTTTGCCGTTGCCGTCTTCTGATGTGGAGATCAAAAGGTCCTTGGCGCTTGAACAAGCACGTCTTGTTGCTGCCCTTGATGCATGGCATGCCACCTACCAGGCCTCGCGGGTCAGCCTCTATTCTCAACCTGACGTCGACCTTCTTGCCCGCGTTGCATACCAGATGCTCGTTCTCTACTATGACATGGCTTCTATTCTGGCTTCGACATGTCTTGCCCCAGATACGGAACTGGCCTTTGATGCACATGCCGGGCGATTTTTGGCCATAGTGCGCAACGCCCTCTTGTTTATACGCGCAGTCAAGGACGTCCACAACTCGCAAGATGTCCATTTCAGCATCAACCCTGAGGTCGCCGAACAGCTTGGGTCTGCAACGTCGCCCATAGTGTGCCTCTTCAACGCGGACGTCGGTTGGACTCCGCCGCTCTACTTTACAGCATTGCATTGCCGGGTACCTCGTATCCGGAAGCAGGCAGTGCGGTTTGTCAAGTCGATCCCCAGTCGTGAAGGGCTATGGGACTCTCAGCTTGCGAGTGCCGTGGCCGAGAAGGTCATCCGTCTCGAAACTCTAGAAGGGAAGAACGCGCAGGATGAGCCAAATGCATCGCCGCCGACTTTTCTCGACAGCGAACTATTCGAGTCCAATGATCCCATGCCTTCGCTTGTCCCTCTATCCTTATCCGCACCGCGCATACACAATGTGCATGTCGTTTTGCCAGACAGCTGGTCAGGAACGATGACGATGACGTGCGAGAAGCGATGGGTAGATGGTCGATGTGAGGTCATACAGACGGCATTCGATCCGCCAACAAAACAGTGGCTACGAACATAGAGCGCGTAACATACCCAGCCGGTCTGCGGGCAGGCTATTGTGTTGCCACTCAGTTGTCTTGTACACTGGTCACCCGTCACTACTCCTACACGAGTGTACAAACAGCACGGCGACCACGCCCTTTATGTCACAGTTGGCCAACGCAACCAACGTGGTTCATGAGAATGCTCAGTGGAATGCCCAGCTAAAGCAGTTTGCTTTCTCGCCACCTTTGTATACCTATTTCACAGACGGCGTGCTTACTTGTCATGTCACACTAAAAGTGAAAACATTATGTATGTCTCGCCTGCCAGGAAAAAGTATAAATAGTGCCGTGTCTCCTCCAGAAGACGTGCTTTATTTTACAAGAATATTTTCCTTGCATATCAAGATCTCACGAAGCACAACGGCACGACACGTCGAAGTCTCACAACAAACACCACAACAAGAGCAAAGCAACGCCAAGACAAACGAACCACTCCCAGCCCGCCAACATGGGTCACGACGACGTCAAGAAGGACAAGGGCACGACTCTCCCGGCCCCTAACTCCGCTGTGACCCAGCCGGTGGTCAAGACGGAGGACAAGGGCGAAAAGGACAAGAAGGGCAAATAGGTGGAGCCCTGACAGCATGCCGGACTTTTTGGTCGACATGATGTTCCTCCTTTGATGGTTCGTCAAGTGTCTTCTACTGGTCTCGGCGGCACCGCCTAAACAGCGTTCTGGAGAGCTCGGCACCCATTTTGTCAGCTTCTCGACACAACGGCGATGATCTTTCGCAGTGTATTTTTAGATAGCCGTTTTGGTCTTGTGTATATTTCTTCCCAAAGATCGCGTTCTCCCAGTAGCTAGGACAACAATAAGAAGAAGAATACCACGCTGACAAGTTTGACATGCAACGAAGCCGCTGGAGAGCGTATCTGTCCAAATAACGTGTTTGATAACATGACTGTCGCAGGAATAATATCTACGCGTGAATTAAGAGAACTGCACTTTAGTGTAAAATGTACATCAATTTTATTGTCTCCACCGTAATGCTGCTGTTTTTTGTTTTCTTTCTTTCTTTCTTTCTTTCTTTCCTTTTTTTCAATGGAAATGGGGTGGTACGCATTTTACTATTTTCAATTTTTTTTAATTTTCAATTTTCAATTTTTTTCTTGTTTTAATGGGGTGTTTTCAGAAAAATCAACAAAAAATAGGAAAATACTCATTCTCTTTGAAACCCGACATTACACTTGTAAGTCCGACTCTCAAATATCTTGCATGTACGACTTACCATTCACTCACCTTCTACGCCTACGTGGGCCGTTTTACTTGAACAGCTTCTTGACCAAGGCACGGAAACCACCACTGCCCTTTTTACCCTTGCGGGAGGCGCTGTAAGAGTAGTAGCGTTCCTCGACATAGCGTCCCGAGCTGCGAGGACGAGGCGAGTGGTGGCGATGGCGACGATGGCGGCTACGGTAACGGCTCCCGTGGCGACCGGGGCTCACATCGTCCCGGCTACGGCGGGAATAGTGGCGACTGCTGTGGCGCCGGCGAGGCTCGCGGTAGCGCTCCTCGGGGACCGTTATGTACGCGGGAGGCCGCTCTCGCGCGGGCGATGCACGGCGGCATCGCGAGCTGCTGCGGTACCGGACCGGACTGTGAGCAGACAACGACTGGCGACGACGGTGACGGTGACGGTGCCGGGTCGAGTGGGACCGATGACGGGGACGGCGCGGCCGGTCGTGGCGCGACGACGAAGACGGAGCAAGGCCGTCGCTGGGGCTGGTTGAGCGGTAGTTGTCGTCTGGGTGTACGGCGGTGACAACGTTGGCATCACCATAGGAGACACTGCCGTAAGACGTATGGCCGTGGGAGTGGCTGCGCGACGGCGGCTGCGAGTGGCTGCGGCCAGAAATGTACGACGGGACGCAGGAAGCACTGCGGCCGAAGGGCTCAAAGGGCGTGTTCGAGTAAATACTCGACGGACGTTGAGACCGCTTCGACCCATGACGAGACCGATGATGGGACCGATGACGGGATCGACGGTGGGAACGGCCACGGGAGCGATGGCGAGACGTGTCCCGGTCGTAGTCAAACGCAGGGCCGGCCGAAGGAGAACGGTACCAGTCGTTTGCATAGCGGCCGCGAGTGTAGTCGCGGCCACGCGAACGGCCACGGGAAGGACCCGGCACATCGTCTGGGTGCACAGCCGTAAATACCGCCGCACCATCGATGCTGTGGTAGCTCTGGCCCCCTGCCTCGTAGCCGCTGTTCTGGGGGGTGGGGGGATACTTACGGAAATGGTTGCTTTGGAAGTCCAGGACGGACGTGGGAACATAGCCGGAGGAAAGGGGCGGGCCAGGCACGAAGGGGGGCACATGGCCACCACTGTCGCCGTAACCGTTACCGTAACCAGTGCCGTAGCCAGTGCCGTAGTAGCTGCCACCGCCATGGCTCGAACGGGGACGAGGGTCCGAGCGACTTGGAGAACGGGCCCGGCCCTTGCCCTTGTCTTTGCTTCTCTGCGGGCCATCATCGTCGTTGTCGTCGCCGTCGCCGTCATCGTTGTAGTAGGCGATGGCCTTGAGCTTGCGGCGAAGCGGAGCGTCACGGGACAACACCTTGGGCTCGTTGGGATAGTCTGGTTGGTACGCCTTGGGTCCGGTGTAGTAGCCATTCGTGTACTCATGCGAGTAGCTCTTCATGAAGGCATTCAAGCTGTCGAGGAAGCGCTCCCCACGCGTGCGGGTGTCGGAACGGCTGCGAGAACGGCTACGGCGGCGCGACCGGCTGCGGCGGGAGTGGTTTCTCTTGGACGGCATTGCTGCTGTGGACGAAAGGTGAGTTGTCAGGGAGGTTGAGTAGTGGACAGCAAAGGCGAACACTCGTCAACGAAAGAGACCTTTCCTTGAAGAGCGCTGGAGTTTTTTTATTTTATTTTAAGGTTTTAAATTTGTTGATCGGAGTGATGAGGAAGAGAAAACTAAGTCGACTGGAAAGCCCGCGGTGCTCTGTATTATATACCTGCTGTACGAGGCTATTTGAACATTGAACTGCAATGTCGTGGGTGTTCATGAATGGGAGCAGCGTCTGTATGCGCTCGCTTTGTTCTCGATCCAAATGTGGAAGCTCTTTCGCTGCACTTACAGGGTCTTTGTTCGTGGGCAAGTAAATATTCCCACAATGAACAGCGACAACAATCGAAATCTAACAATATTTCCGTATTGTCGAATTGTCTAGCTTTTGTGATGTTGCATCTTTTGGTGTTCTTTATTTGTTTATGATTCACAGTGAAAGTTACACTGAAAAATGACGTCTTTTAAAACCATTGCTTTATTAACTCAGCTGTAATCCAATGTTTTTATATTTTCTCAGAATTGTTTGCGATTTTCCGTTTCCCGTCTTGAATCATCGAATAAAATGCACAACTTTTCACGCCTAATTCGCCTACCTTCTACAACCTACTTGTAGGTTGGCCCGGTGGTCCCCGACTTCGTGCTGGGCGGCGAGGAGGTCGCCAGCTGGAAGGAAACGGTGTTTCCCCAGGTGGGCGTCGAGCTGCTCCACGAGGACGGGAACGGCCGCGGTCCATCGCTGCGGACGGACGTCTTAAGGACCGTCTTGTTGGGGGCCACCGTGACATAGTCGAAGCTAAAGCTAGAGTTTAAGGAGTTGTCGCTCATTTTGGCAATGTATCGAATGGGAGAGTGACTCAGACAGAGAGGCGCATGTATTGGAGGACTTGCAATCACTTTGATGGAACAAAAGTGGTTGTCCTAAATAAACAAAAGAAAAGATAAGAACGCCAGAGGAGAAACCAACTTTATATAACACATTATTGAAGTGAGGTCACCGATGTATACGTGCATGCTGTCATGTCGACGACACTGAAGCACGTATACATTGTGAGTGGCTACTCCTAGTCAAGGGCGGCTTGTCTGTCATTGGTAACGACGTTGACAGCTACCCAGGAGCTATTGCCACCTCTGTCACTACCTGGCCCCCAGAGCTGCTTCATACAGGGCCCGAACCTCGGCCTGCATCCGTTCCAAATCGTACTTCCATATCGTGTGGAAGCGCCATGTAATTTCAGGACCAAAGACGGCCGGGTCCTGGCCATGTTTGGGATCCGCGCCCGGTTGTGCTCCGGGACCCGCCCACTGGAACAGATCGACGGCCTCGCGGGTGGCGCGGACCAGCCACTGCGTGCGTTCGTAGCGGACCTTGCTGTAGGCGGACAGGGCACTGTCTACCATGGCAGGATTGTTCACTTCCGCCAGCACAGTCGACAAGGCCAGAGCGTCCTCGATACCGAACCCGGCACCCGAGCCCAGGTGTGGGCCGGCAGCATGGGCGGCATCGCCGGCGAGGGCCACACGGCCACGATTGTACGTGGGCACGGGATGCTCGAGCATGTCAAAGATGGACCAGCGGTCGGGTGCTTCGGGAAGAAGGCCGACGACGGCGCGAGGTGTGGACTGCCAGCCGGCAAACACGGCCTCGGCGTCAGCGCGACGGCCTTTTCCAGTGGTCTGGCGGTTGGCGACGCCTGTATCGGCAGACACTTTCTGTTCGTCGTTGCTGCCGCTTGCCCGTGTAGCATCACCCCACGGCTTGTCATCACCAATGACGACCAAGACGTTGAGCATGGCACCCTTGGCTACCGGGTAGGTAATGGCGTGAGCGCCGGGGCCGTTATACATGTACCGAGACGAGGCGCGGGCCTGACCCAAGGCGGCAACCGCGCCGCCAGGTCCGTCCATGGGGACGACGGCGCGGAAGCAGTACTTGTGCGTGTAGGAGGCGCGAAACTCCGGACCAAACAGCAGAGTACGCATGCGCGACCAAACGCCGTCCGCACCAATGACGACATCGGCCGTGGCTGTGGTGCCGTCGGCAAAGGACAGGCTGACAGGACCATTCTTTGGGTCGATGACTGCAACCACCTCTTTCCCAAACTGAACGTTGGCCGGCTCGACAAGAGCTGCCCAGGCGCCCAGGATCTCCGACCGCCGCCCGCCCTGAAAGCCGTCTTTGCCCAGGTACAACTGGAAGATTTGATCGTCTGTTGTGAAGCCGTCGATCCATTGAAAGTAGTCTAGTCCGTTGGGCGTGACGGCTTGCTTGAAGACAGCGTGCAACTGGGGGTCGATCAGGGTCATAGCGACCTCAGCGTTGGGGCTGAATCCGATGCCCGCGCCATACTCGGAAAAGCCGGCAGCACGTTCGTAGAGGGTGTGGGAAATGCCACGAGCGCGCAGGCCGATGGCTAGAACGAGGCCCGTGATGCCGCCGCCGACGATGGCAACATGAATGGGTGAAGTCTGGATGGTCATTGTGACAGGGAGCGTCGTTGCGTTGAAGCAAACGGAGTCCAACAAGGCGGGACGTCAGCTTGAAGAACTTGATGATATTGTTTCCACTCGTATTTATGCACGAACCAGAACAAGGTGACGATCGCCGGCAAAATCCGAGCACGTTTGCAACGAAAACCATTGTGTGTTGTACAGCAAGCATTGCGGGGCTTTGTATGTGTACCAACTCGCGGGGTTGTTTGCCGACTGCTCTCATCTGAAACAAAGACGGTAGAGTCGTCGGACGGGCGCCACTGGACGTCCGGATTGGAG